GAACCCTTCGACTCGATTGAAGACGCAAGGTTGACGCGCTCAACGGTTTTCTTCGATAGAGGTTTTCGAATGCGACTGGACATCGTGTCACGGTTAGTAAAAGAGGAGTTTGCGGACCAACCGAATCTGGGGCAGGACCTACTACTTATGGCCGTTGGGACATCGGCCTGAAGGAGGAGTATCATGTAACAAGCACGGGTCGAACAACCGGCCGCAGACAAACCCCACGTCAGAAGATCCAGGGTCACTGATAAGATAAGGCTTGCCAAGGCTAGGTCACGTGACAGGATCACCAGGAAACAGTGATCCAGGACCAAGGATCACTATTATGCTTGGATCACCGTGAGCCGTGATCCAACATAAGAGGATCACGATATAACAGTGAGCCATCCAACATGAGCTCACCACCTAACACAACAAGGACAGGATGGCAGGTATATAAGGACGGACATTCTGGACTTGTAGATACATTCCTTCTCACGACAGTGATCAATCTAAGTCTTACCTTGTATTCATTGTAACGAGTGCGCAACGCCTTACGACACCACATCGTCTCAGAGTCACAACCTAAGCTTCTGCAAACAGCAACCCCAACCCTCTGACAGTGTTCCCCCTTCGGAAGCTGCCAGGTCGTAACATAGGGATAACTTAAAGGAGATAACCCTGGAGGAGCTTATAATAGAATAGTAAGAAAGATTATAGAATATACTTAAGGAATACTAGAAATACGAAAAGATCTTTAAGGAAGAAGTCGATATAGTGCTACCTAAGTATATATACTACGACTACGAAATCCTAATTAAGGAAAGGGAGAGCCCCCGATTTAATAAGATCTATGGGTTAAACCCTCGATAGATAGATATTCTCGATAAGTATTTTAAGGAGAACCTTAGAAAAGGATATATCCGATTATCGATATCCTTAATAGGATATCCGATTCTCTTTATATTAAAGAAGAATAATAAGGAAAGACTATATATCGATTATAAATAATTAAACGATATTACTATTAAGAACTATTACCTATTACCTCTAATATTAGAACTTAAGGACGTATTAATAAGAGCTAATTAGTTTATAGCGCTCGATCTTAAAGGAATATATAACCTTATCTATATTAAGGATAGAGAAGAATAGAAAATAGTATTCCGAATACGATGAGGATATTATAAGTATTTAATTATATTATTCGGATTAATTAATGCCCCTATAACCTTCTAAAATATAATTAATAATATACTACGAGAATTCCTAAACGTCTTTATAATAATATACCTTAATAATATTCTAATTTTCTCGAAGACGATAGAAGAATATAAAGGATATATCTACTAAGTCCTTATATAACTATACTAGTACGAACTATTAATAGAGCCTAAAAAAGCTAAGTTCTATATATAGGAAATAGATTTCTTAGGGTATACGATTACCCTAGGAGAAATTAGGATAGAAAAATCCAAAGTAATAGCTATTAAGGAATAGCTTATACTAAAAAACGTTAAGGACGTTAGAGTATTCCTCGATTTCGTTAATTTCTATCGACGATTCTTAAAAGGATATAGTAAGACCGCTAATCCTTTAATAAACTTTACGGTTAAGGAAATAGAGTTCGTATAGAACGAACCTTAAGAAAAAGCATTTCGCTAAATTATCGATACTATCTTTAGCGAATTAGTCCTCCGAATAATAGACCCTGAAAAACCTATAGAAGTCGAGATAGATACCTCCGACTTCGCTATTAGAGGATAGCTAGGATAAAAGGACGATTAAGGACGTCTATACCTAATAGCGTTCTTCTCGAAGAAGCTATACGGACTAGAGCTTAATTACTAGATATACGATAAAGAACTTATAGTAATTATCGAAGCCTTTAAAGAATAGAGAACGTATCTCTTCGGAGTACGATATGAAATTAAGGTCTATACCGATTATAAAAATCTTATATATTTTATAATAAATAAAGACCTTAATAAACGATAAATTAAATAAGTAGAATTCCTTTCGGAATTTAACTTTACTATTATTTATTATAAAGGATCTAAGAATAATAGGGTAGATATTCTAAGTAGACGCTTAGATTATAAATAAAATACGCCCCTTAATATTAACGCTATCTTAGCGAAAGATAAAGAAGGGAACCTTATCCTTTATTACTAAACGTTAATAGTTACTACTCGTATAATACTTATTAAACTACCTACGGAAGTATTAGAACTAATTCGATAAGTTTACGAAGCTAAGGCCTATAGGTACTAAAGAATAGCGAAGACCTTCGCTCGACTTAAGAAATACTATAACTTTAAAGGAACTAGATAGGACGTTATAATAATTATTCGTAATTACGACCTCTATAAAAAGAGTAAGGTAGAAAGGTATAGGCTTTATAGAGAACTTAAGGCTTTACTAGTACTAGTAATAGCCTAGGAGTTAGTCTTATTAGACTTTATTACTAGCTTATTATTATTGAAGGAACCCTTAATTAGGACCTTTTACGATAATATCCTAGTAATTATTAACCGATTTACTAAATACTCCTACTTTCTCCTATATAAAGCTATAAGAATAGTAGAAAACCTCGCCTATATATTCCTTAAGAATATTATAGGATAATACGGACTCCTAAAAGAACTAGTATTAAATAGAGATAAGCTCTTTACTAATAATTTCTAGAAATTACTTATCGCTTAACTTAGAGCTAAATATAAACTATCTACGGCTTTTTACTTATAGATAGACGGATAAACGGAAAGAACGAACTAGACTTTAGAGTAGTACCTCTAGTATTATATTAATAACTAATAGGATAACTAGGTTATATTACTTCCTATCGTATAGTTTATATATAATAGCTTACTAAGCGAGTCTATAAAGGAGTTACCCTTCTATATTAATTATAAGTATAACCTAATAGCCTACGCGGAACGCCGCGAAGTACTAGATACGTTAAAAGTAACTAATATTATAGCTAATATCCGTAAGATCTAGGACTAGATTAAGCTCGACCTCGAGCTCGTATATATTAGAATAATTATATATATTAATAAAATAAGGATAAAGGGACTATCTTTATAAGAGGGAGATAGCGTCTACTTTATCTACTAAAATATTAAAACTAAACGACTAAATAATAAATTAGACTTTAAGAAACTAGGACCTTTTAAAATTCTTAAGAAACTCTCGGATATTAACTATTACTTCTTATTACTAGAGAATATAAAGATTTACCCCGTTTTTTATATAGTATTTTTAGAACTAGTACTACTAAACGTATTACTCGTAATTAATATAGAAATAGAAGATATAAATAAATACGAAATCGAAAGAATTATCGATTATAGAAAAACGAATAAATAAAACGAATACCTTATTAAATAGAAAAACTATAAATATAAAGAAAATATATAGGAATTAATTAAGAACTTAAATTATCTATAATTATTAAAGTAGTATTATTAATCTTAAGGAAATTAAGCGACTCTGGGTTAAAGGAGCCTAAGGCGCTCTAATTAATAACCCCGAAACCCCTAGCCGCTTATATAGCTATTATAGCCTTAGACTCCTCCCGCTCCGCGGAATCTAACTCGTCTAGAGACTATAACCCTTAGTTTACTATCTTTATACCCCTCTTATAAAGAGATCGCTTCTAAATACGAAAGCGCTTTAAACGATTAAGAGCTTCCGCTATTTAAGACTATAGCTCCTCTAAACGCGCCTCCTTATCTAGCTCCTTCTTATCTAGCTTACTTAGCTCTTAAGTAATACGAGATATTATTATAGGTTAGCGGACTAAGAAAGCGAGAGAGATACTATTATAAGTACTTACGAGCGTTAACGGGTACCCCCGAACTATCGTAGGAACGACTGCGATGAACGTATTCGGAGTAGCGATTAACGCCCTCTACTATACGATACTTCTAACCCTTTTATTAATAGAAGGAATATAGTATAACGTCGTAGCTACGAAGCTTAATAAAATTAAACTATTCTTATCGCTTTCGAGTAGATAAGGACTTTAGCTTTTTAATATAATTCGATATTTCGTTAATATTATAAAGGAAGAATAAGTTAAGGGATATAATTACCTAGGGTACGGCGCTTATAAGTAAGGGTCGCTAGGATATCGACCTAGAGGAGGAGAATCATATAACGCCCTAGCCCGGTCGTTACTAGGACACCAGGCAGGACACCCCGTAGGCGATCGGATGCGCTATACGGACCTATAGGATTACTTACGTAACCGTGACTAGATCACGATTCTCAAAGTGATCCGGTTACTAACTACACCGTAACCCAAGCAATAGGATCACGATAAGAAAGGTAAGCTATCTAATATAGACTTATTAACCTAATACGATAAGGATAGAATAATAGGTATATAAGGACGGGTATTCGGTACTTATAGATATATTCTTTCTTATGATAGTAATTAATCTAAGTCTTACTTTATATTTATTATAACGAGTGCGTAACGCTTTACGATACTATATCGTCTTAGAGTCATAACCTAAGCTTCTGTAAATAGCAACCCTAACCCTCTGATAGCGTTCCCCCTTCGGAAGCTACTAGGTCGTAATACTATTATTAATACCCTGAAGCGTATTTAGAATATCTTCTTTAATATAGCTCTTTATTCTAAATTTAATAATATAATTAATATAATTATTAGATAAGGGGTAGGTAAGATATCGCGATCTATATATTATTAGGGGGCCGATTTTCGGGTATTAAAAGTAGGTAGAATTAGTATGCGGAGTTGGGGGGGCGCGGAGTTAGGGGTGTAGGACTTACCTACCTACCTTACCTTACCTTACTGCTTTACCGTACGCTGTGATCGATGAGCCATGTAAAGACGGAACCACCCCTCCCTCCAGAGGAATTCGAGCATCAGCGGCCCCTCCATCCTCACCTCCCCCTTACACAGTGGATGTTGGCAATTCCCTCTAAGTCCCTCGTATCACTTCCCAGACAGCAGGCCAAACCGTTTTTTTCGTTTTCACGCTATGGCTCAGCCATCCAGCAGTGCCTTCGCGACCTGCCTGAACGACGTTTGCGATGGCCGGTGGGGGTGCGTAGGCTACCCGAGCGACATCCTGTACCAAATCAACTGGGTAGATCGCTATAACCTCGACATCAATATTGAGCCCGCTGCCGTCACAAGACCCGAAAGTACTGAAGATGTCGCGGCATTTATCAAGTGTGCCTCGGAGAATAATGTGAAAGTCCAGGCTAGGTCTGGAGGACATTCCTACGCGTAAATACGTCTGCGGTGCTGTCGTTTCTAAACCCTCAATGCTGACTGTATCAGAAATCATGGATTGGGTGGTGAAGACGGGGCGCTCGTCATCGATCTTGAGAGCTTTCAACACTTCTCAATGGATTCAGATAATTGGCAAGCGACAATCGGAGCAGGCCACACATTACACGACGTCACCAAGAAGCTCCATGATAACGGTGGTCGAGCCATCTCGCATGGCACATGCCCTGGTGTAGGACTTGGTGGTCACGCTACAATTGTGAGTAGTTTCGAATGCTTCCAGATGCTGCTAGAGCACTAACAAATCTACTGCAGGGTGGCCTCGGGCCCTCATCACGTATGTGGGGATCCTGCCTTGATCATGTTGTGGAAGTCGAAGTCGTCACAGCCGATGGGAAAATCCAGCGCGCCAACGAAGACGAGAACTCAGATCTCTTCTTCGCCCTCAAAGGAGCTGGTGCCAGTTTCGGCATCATTACGGAATTCGTCATGCGCACCAACGAGGAGCCCGGTGACGTTGTCGAGTATACCTTCTCACTGACTTTCTCCCGTCATCGTGATCTATCCCCTGTATTTGAGGCGTGGCAAAATCTCATTTCTGACCCTGACCTTGACCGCCGTTTTGGGTCCGAGTTCGTTATGCACGAACTGGGTGCTATCATCACTGGCACTTTTTTTGGCACTGAGGAAGAATTTGAGGCAACAGGCATTCCTGACCGCATTCCCACCGGGAAGAAGTCCGTAGTGGTCAACGACTGGCTCGGCTCGGTCGCGCAACAAGCCCAGGATGCAGCCCTATGGCTTAGCGATCTGAGTACCGCCTTCACTGCGAAGAGCTTAGCATTCACCAAGGACCAGCTCCTCTCCCCCGAAAGCATCACATACCTCATGGACTACATTGACGACGCTAATCGGGGCACCCTCATCTGGTTTTTGATTTTTGATGTGACAGGTGGCCGTATCAACGACGTCCCGATGAACGCTACGGCTTACCGTCACCGCGACAAGGTTATGTTCTGCCAGGGCTACGGTATCGGTATTCCAACACTGAACGGCAGGACTCGCGAGTTTATTGAAGGAATCAATTCGTTGATTAGGTCAAGCGTGCCAACTAATCTGAGTACCTACGCCGGGTATGTCGATGCCAGTCTGGATAGCCCTCAAGACTCGTATTGGGGCCCAAACCTAAACACATTGGGTCAAGTAAAGAAAAACTGGGATCCTCATGATCTCTTTTCAAACCCGCAAAGCGTACGACCTGGGCAGAAGAGTGTTGTCAATTATTTCGATGACAGGACGTCATCAAACGGCTCGGAGGACTCCAGCGGCGGGTCTATTGGTGGTACCCGAGATGAACAGGGCGGGTGCTGGAGCTGGCAACGCAGCGGGGCTGCTTTTGCTGTTTTCGTCGCCCTGTTTGTCGGTCTGGTTTTGGGGGTTTTCTAATTCTCCCATTCTTGGGGCGAGACCCTCACGATTGTTATCGGTCTGGGTGGTGCGTCAGACCTTTCCTTGTCCTTCCCTACGCAAAACCACTCACGCCTTTTAAGAACGCTGGTAGTCCTCTTGCCGAATACAAAGATATTATCTTCTACCATGGACTTGAAATCTATGATAGATGTCGTGCTGCGGCTGCAATCTCTCTAAAGTTGCCTCTGCGCGTGCATTCGGATGGCATACGCTGTGCAGCAACACATCCAGGACTGAGACATGCTTAACATGCTTCCGCGAGAGGGACCTGCAAGGATGCCCATGGCCCCACTTGGCCCATAGCGCGGGTAGCCTCGGTCAACTCGGTGAACAGCTGACTCATTTGTCAAGATCCGGCTACAGGCCAATCCACTATCTTCACGTGACTGATCGCTTGTCCGAATTTCGTAAGGGTTTCCCACCCCACAGACGAGTTGGGTGCAAAAACAAAATCTTCGGGATCCTGCTCTTGACCTCACCGACGCCGAATCGCCCTCACGAACACCCGTTGTCAACCCAAACACCCTCACAACCGATACAATGGCCAAGCTTTCGTAAGTTCTGCCTTCTCGACAACAACCTCTGCGATCGATCATTCGGAACTGCGACTGCTGCGACCGGTGGGCTGGAGAAAGGAACGGCGAAGGCGGGGAGATGAGAAGAACGAGGCTCAGCAAGAGGAGGGGTGGGAAATTGAGCCATCACGACGCCATGCCTTTGCCGAACCAGCCTTAATGCCCTTCCACACGGCTATCGACAGAAAGTCATCGGACCTGACAACGAGCTCGACAATAATGTAGCGGTTTCCGGCCAGACGATCGATCGCAGGGTCTTGGACTTTCGGTGCAGAATCACGCATGCTAACTTTTGCGCTTCAGGCGCGGTGCCCCCGGTGGCAAGCTCAAGATGACTCTGGGTCTCCCAGTCGGCGCGGTCATGAACTGCGCGGACAACTCTGGCGCCCGTAACCTCTACATCATCTCCGTCAAGGGTATCGGTGCCCGCCTCAACAGGCTGCCTGCTGGTGGTGTTGGCGACATGGTCATGGCCACTGTCAAGAAGGGAAAGCCCGAGCTGAGGAAGAAGGTCCACCCCGCCGTCATCGTTCGCCAGTCCAAGCCCTGGAAGCGTTTTGATGGCGTCTTCCTGTACTTCGAGGACAACGCCGGTGTTGTGAGTTTCCCCCTCTCTATCAATATTTGGCTACAGACAATGCTGACGTGTGTAAGATCGTCAACCCCAAGGGTGAGATGAAGGGCTCTGCCATCACCGGCCCCGTCGGCAAGGAGGCCGCTGAGCTGTGGCCTGTGAGTAGCAACCTCCTTCACGTCGACAAGAACCTACTAACAAGTATGTCCCCAGCGTATTGCCAGCAACTCCGGTGTCGTGATGTAAAAGGGGAACTGCTTCGAGGAGGACAAATAACGAAGCTAGGATTTGGTCACCGATGCGAACGATGATACCGAGCAGGTCCCGCCGACAACGATAGAGCGAGGCGGGAGCGGACCGAGGGGGATGACCTGGCACGGGGACGGTTCTTTTTTCCTCGCTGGATTGGAAGGCTCTGCATTTTGGGCTGCGGCGTGTAAAGGGAGACTTCATACCAGGCATTCGCATCAAGGCAGATGAAATCCGATGATTTGAGCAAAGTCACACGATGCTGCTACCTGCCAACCTTGCGTGATGTACACAACGGGGGACTTGGGTTTTACGAAACTGATTTCCACCACAGGCTGACGCTTGTGACATTTAAAGGATAATTGGGTTGACGCTTGTGATATTCAAAGGATAATTGTGTATTCAGTCGGGTCAGCGACCTCAGCGATTCCCGACGCTCCTACTCCCAGCCACTAAACCTTCATACCCATGCTAGAGAACCTGACACTGTCCATGATGCACCGACCGCTCAGCGGGTCAACGAATTGTGAGACCGCACAATGTGACCGCACGAGAGCACAGCTTGAGCCAACGTCAATCTGCATGGGTAGGCCACAACATTTTGACGCCCTGCCTCTCTCTGTATTTGACGACGCCTATCAACGCTTAACACCTACCCCCTTCTCCATACCACCATCCTCCAAATCGTACAAAACTTGCTCAAGTATCGGAGCTATTCCCTTGGCCATCTGGATTACTACCCCGGCTTGATTCACGGTAAACAGGCAAAATAGTATCAAAGCTGCGCTCTCCAAAGCTCCCTCTCCGTTGTGTGCAGCTGCACGCGGCCCTGTGTCGTACAGCAACAAACGGCTCTCGGGCCAACTCATGTCGAATGGCGGTTCGAGTTACCAATCCTAGACCAAATGATCCGCAGCTTCAGTTTGTCATGGCCGTGGACAGATTGCGCCATCTAAAGCCCCGTTTGAGACCAGTGTCGATCTTTGGTATACCCTTACTGCTGGAATTGGGTTCCGTTGGTAAAAGGGTTATGCCCATTGGATTGCGGAGGAGCAGGTGCAGCTGCCACCATTGCTGCCTGCGCATTGGCCGCTTTTTTCGCAGCTAAAGTGGCCTTTCTTTTGTTGACAGCATTCTGCATACTGCCATTCAGCCAGCGTTCTGTGCAATAGTTAGCTCCGTGTGCCAAAAAATTTGCCTTGGCAGATGTGCTGCTTACTCTTCATTGAAGCAGACATCTTCTGCGACTTGGTCATCAAGCGGTAGTCTTGGTCGTCGCCAGCCTGGCTCGGGGCAGCGGATGATGCTGCAGAGTGTGGCGCCGATGGGGCAGCTGAAAGACGGGCGACTTGTGCGGACGGCGCTGCTGTTGAGGAATCACGGCTTGGTCGTGAACCACGGTTTACGGTCCATTTGTCGTCACCCATATGCTTGAAAGTGATCAAATGAGACGGTTCGCCTAGGGTGGCGCTGGCAGCTTGAGATGCTGCAGCCATATCGCCGAGAATGGCTTCTGATCGTGTGGCCTTGTGCGCTGCTTGGGGGCGAGTGGACGCTTTGAAGTTGATGCGTGTCTTCTTTTTCGGAGGCTGAACAGCTTCGACAATCTCTTCATCATCTTGTGCTTCGCCCCTTGAAGTACGCTGTCGCTTGTTCTGGCGGAAGCTGTACGTTGATCCGTCATCTGATATGGTAGCGTTGGACGAAGATGTTGTGGGTCGTGACTCGTCTGAGCTGTCAACAACTGTTTCGCTGCTGATCGGCCTGGAGCTGGTCATGCGTGCATTCTTGCCACGTTTTCTTGTGGTGCGCGCTCTCTTAGGTAGTGGCTCGTCCAACTCCTCGGGTTCCGTATCTTCAGGATCTGCCGCGTCAGACTCAGGTTCTGCGACGACAATCTTTGGTTGCCGCCCGCGTTTTCGCTTGGGAGGCACCTGAGCCAAGTCTGAGGCTGGCGTGTCGGCTTCTGTATCCGCAGCTGCGGCCCTCTTCCCCTTTGGTCCCCGTTTTTTGGGCCCTGGCTTGTTCTTTGGCGCCGAGTCTTCATCCTCATTCGGGTGGTAGACGTCCTCCGGGTGCGGATTGAGAGGCGGTCTGCCGCGCCTTTTAAGGATAGGCTTGACGACGGTAGCGGCGGCGGCAGCTTGGTTCGCTGGCGTCGCGGAACGAACATCGTCTTGTAACATTCCTTCGTACAGTTTGGGCGGATTTCTTGACCTCTTGCCTGTGACCACCAGGCCATCTGCGTCACCTTCTGCGGCCTTGGCAGTCTGTTGAGGCTGGCTTCGCAGCTGTCTGCCTGCCATGATACCATCACGCTGGGCAATGGGGTCTTGCTGGCCAATCTTGGACGGATGAGGATCATACTCATAGCCATAAGCCATGGCCTCAACCCTGTCCTGCCACCGCTGGTGGAAGGTGCCCTGCTCTTTCTCCTTGATGGGAGCGCGATAGCCACGAGTGTCAAAATCTTTCTCCACATATGAGTCAACCTTGGCGAACTGAGAAAGGTTGGCCGTCTTCTTCTCATACTCGGCGTCCTGAATCTCACGTCTCTTTGCGTTCTCCGCGTCATCGACCTGCCGACCGCACTTTTGCCATTCTTCCTGCCAGACCAGAAGCGTCGTGTTGACGTGGGCAAGGAAAGCCCACAGCTCTTCCGTCGACATGTTGCTGTGATCTTTGACGTATTCCCTGTAATGGGCTGGGTCACTCAGCTTGGGAAATCGAAACTGTTTCCTCATGCGTTGAATCCCAGCTGATGCCACGGCAGCCTTGCTCTTGTCTTCGCCGGCCGATGGAGTGTTCGCACCTGTCTGCTGCGCGGACGCGGATACAGGAGAACCCACTCGTGGGGTTTGAGGCAGAGGCGTGGCAGCACCAGAGTCGACGTCTGCCAGGCCATCGGCTTGAAGACTGTTGTCTTCTTCAGGCTGAACAGTTTGCGATGCACTCTTGTCGCCGTCGTCCCGATCGGCCTCGTCCTCATACTGGTCGGCGTCATCGTTGGCGGCGGCATCATTCTTGTCGGCAGCTTCCTGCTCATCGTCATTGCCTTCACCATCGCCATCGGGCGCATCGCCGTCTTCATCAACATCACCTTCGCCTCCAGCTGTCGCCACCTGCATTGTCGGCTCAGGATGCAGTACGACTTCGCCTTCGACATATGGCGTCAAATGCGACCAGGCATAAGTCTTCACCTGGATCTCAGCACTGTCCTCACCAATATCCATGTTACTAGGCCCATGGATATTTCTGTCAATGCTCTTCCCTAGGTGTTCCTGGGACGGCTGTGTTGCCCCATTCGTGCAGTGGTGGTTCTGCCAAATCGTGGTGTGCGTCTTCAAACCCATCGGACCAGCCTGTGCGTTGTTTTCAACGGCATCGCCGTACTGTGTATTCGACGGCTCATGTCGAGAAGAAGCGTTCGGTGCAAGCTGGCGTTCCGTACTACCGGCCTCGCCAGCGATATCGCTCTCAGACCTTGTCTGGACGTGGGCTCGTCCGTTGACTGTCAGTTGCACCGCGCTTCCGTCATCGCCGCGTCCACTCCGGTCTAGCGATGATGAGCTTGTAGAAGGAGCTGCAGGTGCAGCGGCCATCTGCGTATTGGACTGCACCCTCATGCTCAGAGGCACAACTGCAGGAACCCCATGGCCAGCGGCGGATTGTTCGGCTGACGAGGCACGTGGCGAGGAGGTGAAGTGAGCGGCTCGGCTAGATAGTCTCTCAATCTTCAATTCGGAATGCCGCTCAGCCTGTGTGTCTGAATCTTGAGAGAGCTGGGGAGCCGTGATGATTGAGACATGATTGATGTGTATGGGTTGTGGATGTGCGATTTCCAGGCTACCCTGGCCGTTGTCACGAGAATTGGCCTGCGCACCATGGTCTGGCTGACTGCCGTTGCCGAACCGATCGTATCGCTCGAAAGACGACGTCGGGCGTGCGTGTGCTCCGTCTGGTGTTGCAGATTGTCGCTTGAATTTTCTCTCGGCTGCTGGAGACTCAACCTTGGAATCATGGTCCGACACCTCGTCAGACGTGTGCAAGTCGCTGGAATCGCCGACAACCTCAATGGTATCCTTGACAACATCGTCTGAGGGAGGGAAGTAGGGCTGCGGGTCTGCAAGGCGTTTGGCTGGGGTTTTACGGCGACCGGCGGGAGTGTCATCTGTATGAGAGAACTCCCGCGAGTTGGCGCGCCGGCGCTGAGTGCTGGGCGGCGTGAAGCCGTCACCGACCACCTCGCTCTCGGCCCTTCGTCGACGAGTAGCGGTACGCGGGGCAGGAAGGGCAATCTCGGGAAGCTCGTCCTCGAAATCATGTGCTGAGTAGTCGATCTTGGCTCGCTTACGAAGATTGTGAGAACCCTTCTTGTTGGTCTCGTCATCATCGTCGGGATTGCCATCAAAGCCAAACGTGCGAATACGCTTCCTTCGAGATGCAGCGCCGCCAGAAAAGGGCGAGGAGGCAGTCTGAGCAGAGGATGAAGCAAATGGCGTAGACAATTGCCGAGCGCCGCGTCGCCCGGCAGGGGCGGTTTGTGGTGTCTGGTGGGAGAATGTGGCAACTGGCGATGTCGACCGAGCGCTCTGAGGATTCTGAGCGTAGTCCTTAGGGTCGGCTTTTTCTGCCATGTCGAAGCTCGTCGTCAGCGATGGCTGTGTTTTTCGCCGACCCAAGCGGCCAGCACGAGGGCGATCCATGGTAATTGGCGATGTTGTTGATGATGCGTGGTACAAAAAATTGGTGTAAATCCGAGAGGGTGGTAGTGGCAGACTCAGGCTTAGTCTAAGATGAAGAGTAGCGACATGCGGTGGACGGATGTCGTGACAATCTCTTCACCGAGGGAAGGAAAAGTAAAACACACGAAAGAGACCCAAGAGGTAAGATGATTGACGTGACTGTTGCGAAGGGGAGAGAAAGAGCTGTCGCTGTGAATGTGTGGGATGGAGGCTGTCTGTTCTGTCGCCCTGAGGACAGGCAAAAATCAAGTTGGATGGGGCGGCTTGGAGGTGAGAGAGCAGTGAGCTGTGAAAGGGAGGCAGGGGTTGTGCTTCTTTTTCTCGATTCGGGCAGGCCAAGAAATCCCCCCGAGTATTCAGAGGCTGCGTTCTCCAAGATTTGAGAAAAGAGCCGGCGTTCTGCCAGATGAATATCAAAGCCTTCAGTAGGATAGACCGTCTTCTGTCGAGGACTCTCGTCTCCGTCAATCGTTTTGCTTGGGACTGTAATTTGATTCCCGAATGGGCCACGGCTGCACGACTGGTGCCAGGTACGTACCTCCCCTGCTAACCTTCACTAAAAACCCACTTATTCCCCTTGGACAGGCGATCAGTCCAATGAACGATCGAGAAATCTGAGCCGTTCGAGTGCTAAACCTCACCTGGCCTAGCCCCACTCCCCCCCACTGACAGCTTGCATGTCCTGGTGACGGATGCTCTGAGCTTCATGTTATCACGTTACCGAAACCAACGAACAAGAAGCACCCTGATTTTGTCTATTTTGCAGCCTCGCTGGTGCTCTCTGACCTGATTTCATAAAGACCTCACGCCTTCCGATTTCGAAATCGCAACAAATCTTTCTCCAGGCTCGTCTTGACCAACCTTAGAGCCTCCCTGGCGTTCCCAACTCCATACACCCCCGGTAGCAAACACCATCCCCAGGATCGTTACCATGACTTCCAAGAAGGGCAAGACCGCAGCCGCCGGCGACGACATTGATGACCTGTTCGAGGGCATTGTTGATGATGCCCCGAAGAAATCACTCGAAAAGAAGTCCAAACCCACGACAGCCGCCTCCAAGGCCATGGAAGACCAGGACATCTTTGCCGAGCTTGAGAAGGACCTCGAGCAGCCCTCCCGCCCACACACACCGCGCATTCGGGAGGCTGCTACCAAGGGATCTCCTGCTCGATGGACTGCGACACCGACTGTCGCCGACGACAAGTCTGCCACAGCTCCCCGCAAATCCACCGACAGTGCCAGATCCTTGCGAGCCAGCTTCACCCCGAGCGCCACAAGCTCCGACGTGCAAGAGTCGGAGAAGAAGGCTGTTGTCGAACCATCTGCTGCGGCTCCCGCTGAAGCTCCTTCTGGCGGAGGCTGGTGGGGCAGCGTCTTCTCCACGGCAACTGCTGCCATGAAGCAGGCAGAGGCCGCCGTAAAAGAAATCAGAGAGAACGAAGAGGCCAAGAAGTGGGCGGAACAGGTGCGCGGCAATGTTGGCGGCCTCAGAGCCCTGGGTGAGTGATCATACTGCGGCTTCTCGCAGGCGTTTCTAACCGCGCTCCCAGGAGACAACCTTCGCCAGCAGGCCCTTCCCACCTTCACCGACCTCCTACACACTCTTGCTCCCCCAATCAGCCAGCACGAACGATTGATGATCCACATTACGCATGATATGGTCGGCTACCCTTCGCTCGATCCCCTCGTGTACGAAGTCTTTTCCCGCGTCATGGCCCAGGTCGAGGGCGGCGACCTGATGGTCATCCAGAAGGGTCAGGAAAATACCAGCCGGAGGTCGAACGATGTAGCTTCCGGCTGGCGTGACGGCCCCTGGTGGAAGCAGTCCGAGCTAGCTCGCGATCTCGGGTTGATCAAGGGCCTGGTGGAGGGCACCAAGCTTTGCCGCGCCGGCGCCGAGGGCTATGCTGGCGAGTACTTTGCCGCGCATGGCGGTATCGGAGAGGCCAAAGTGCGAGCTACCGAATCTGTCAGCGAGACCAACCCTGTGCGCAGTTCGGATCTTTTCCTGGCGATCCAAGCCATAAGCGTCGATTCGGACGCTGCATTGTTCGCACGCGCAGCTGCCATTGAAAATGGTCAGGATTCACCCGCCGTTGCTGATCCCAAGGAGACGGACGGTTTTGTCTGCTTCGCCGTTTTCGTGCTCGACCCTGTTCACGAGATAGAGTACTCAACCGTCAGTCAGACCATACCGGCGAAATGGGTCAAGTGGCTTGACGCCGCGAACCCTCTGACCCCTGGTAGCGGTGAAGATGGCGAAGACCAGCACCTGCGTGTGTTGGTCCCCCACGAGATTCGGGAGATTGTCGAGAGTGGTGGTGTCGATCCCAGGGAATGGGCTGCTGAGTGGATTGAGGAGCAGCTGAGTCTCGCCATCGGCATCATTGCACAGCGGTATGTCGCCCGAAGGATGGGCGTTAGCGAAGGGAGCATTGGCAAGGGCAAGAGGGGTGTTGGTGAGCTTGTCGAGGATGGCGCGGGTGAGGCAGCGAGGGCTGGTCTGATTTGAGTCGCGTTGACGCGCTCTGTTGGTGTTGGGCCCGTACCATGATTTATCATTAATTGTTCGCGAACCCGGGACTACGAGAATGAAGCTTATCGACAAAGGACTCTCGCGCCAGGTGGCATCCGGTGATCTGCTGTGCCTAGGTATAGCCATGTAGGTACCTCATGGAACTTGGTTTCCACAGCGTACTGTCATCGGGCAACCTTCAATACTACCTAAGCTTATGACCAGCTTTGGCGCAATTTCCTTCGCACAACTAAATCTGCGAGTCAAAGTTTCAGTCAGCTTGATAGTTGACTGACAATAGAACAGCAAGGCTTCCGTGTCGGCCGGCAGGATATCGTGCCATCCGTTTCTCGACTTTCAAGGCCAACGAGCAAGCGCCTTCGATAACGGGTGGGCACGGGCCGTTCCATTGTTGTTGCTCAGGGCCGCCCACGCCCACAGGGCTTATGTCAGCCTCGGCGGGGTCTGGGTCACTGTAGAAAATTTTACTGACGATGCTGCAAAAGATCTCTACGTTTTTCTCCCATCATTCCATTTTTGGCCCCAAAGCCGTCTACGATTTCGACATTGATGGAGGCAGCGCGCTCAAGTGAGCGGCTGCTGAACCAATTGGAGCGCCAGACTTGTGCACCTCGTGACGCCTTATCCGCCGTCCATCGCAGCATGAGATAGCAATCAACTCGGCCTTCGGGCAAAACATACGAGTCTTCGCTCCGCGGAGGCCCTCTACTGCTGTCGCGTTTTGCGATGCGCATCGAGGGTGGTTGCGATCGCTCACAGGCCCCTAGGACCTACTACTGCAATAAAAAACCCTGGGCCATCATAGTCCGCGCCCCGATTGTCTCACGACTTTGCGTCTACGAGGCCCTCCACCTGGGCGAGGCTCCAAGCGCTCCAACATGCCACCGTGTCCCCCCCTCTGTACGATCAAGTCCATGACAATTTCATAAATGCAGCGACTTGTCATCCCTCTGAAGAGTTGCTGTTCCTCTTTTTTTCGTGTTTTTTTTTTCTTTTTTGGGAGGCTGCGCCTTTACCAGCAGTGGGCATGCCTAGCTCCGCGATCGATCAAGCTTTGGAGAGCGGAGCGGAGCCTGCATTAGTTAGCAGCTGCAAATAGATGCCTTGCTGCGTGCAATCGCTGAGCGACTGAAGACGTCAGCGACAGCTCCAAATGACCTTTTGCGTTTCCCACCCGTCAGCTCGCATCACATGACAGGCTACTTGCTCAGGCTCCCCTCGATAACCTTCCCTTACACCCGTGCGTGTCCAGCTGTTTGCCAAGTCTTCAATATCTCGACCATGAACCATGTACCTAAAACTTGCCAACAGACTCTGAACTCTTTACTGACCCATCACTTTCCCGAGCATGGCGGCAGACGAGACATCCAGGTTCGCCCATCTGCCCTTGAGCACCAGTGGTGCCATCAAGTGTGCCATCACGGGCACGGCGCTTCTGAACACACCTTATCTCAATAAAGGCACCGCCTTTCCCCCTGATGAGCGCCGCCAATTCAACCTTACCGGCCTTCTCCCAGAGAACGTCCATAGCCTGGATCAGCAGGTCAAGCGAGCTTGGCGCCAGTACTCGTCTCGTAGCGACGACCTCGCCCGCAACACATTTCTCACCTCACTCAAGGAGCAAAATGAGGTTCTGTACTACAAGGTCGGTCGGTAGCACGCTTGAAAAGGTTACCCAGCGATTGTTGATCATGTATATAGCTTCTGCTGGATCACCTAGCAGATGTGTTCTCTGTAGTGTACACGCCCACCGACGATATATATTAATAGATTTAAACCTATAACCTCTAATAGGGCTCTAGAGATCCTAATTAACTAAGCTATTCTCTTCTTTTAGTTTTTATTAATAGATAATTGTAACAACCAAGGAAGCAGGGCGGCCGCGAATCGACGACCCCGCGATCAGGGAGCGCGATAAGATAAGAATCGGGCCCACCTGGCAAATCACGTGATGGCTCACTCAGACATAAAGGGTGAGTCGTCGGGCTCACCAAGGACGCCGCAGTGAGCCAGGGAATGGCTCACGGGATAACACACCCTGATCCTAACATCATGGATCACCAACAACTAACCAGTGAGCCATCCAACATGAGCTCACCACCTAACACAACAAGGACAGGATGGCAGGTATATAAGGACGGACATTCTGGACTTGTAGATACATTCTTTCTCACGACAGTGATCAATCTAAGTCTTACCTTGTATTCATTGTAACGAGTGCGCAACGCCTTACGACACCACATCGTCTCAGAGTCACAACCTAAGCTTCTGCAAACAGCAACCCCAACCCTCTGACAGTGTTCCCCCTTCGGAAGCTGCCAGGTCGTAACATTTTGATCACTCTTGTTCAGTAGGTTTACCTTGTGACACTGAGCAATACTCACCACAGGAACAATGTCCACCAACAGCGTCGGAAACAGCGCCAGCAACCTGGCCGCTATGATCCAAGAGCTCCGCTCAGAGAACGAGCAGCTACGAGCCTCGATGCAGCAACTTCAAGGCGGAACGAGCATGAAGGCTCTTCCCCCTCAGTCATTCGACGGCAACCCTAGGGCACTTCAATCTTTCATCACCCAGGTACGCCAGTACCACAAAGCCAATGAGGGCCAACTCAAGTACTGGGGCGAGAAGGTCGCCAACGCCTCCTCTTACCTCAAAGGGGACGCCTTGCACTGGTTCGAACCCTTCATTAGGGACTATTCCACCCACACCAAGAAAGAAGATATGAAGCAGGCCACCCAGGACATCTACGCCGGTATGAACGCATTCGAAGAAGCCATTAAAGGAGCGTTTGGGGACGTGGACGAGGAACGACAAAACGAAAGAAAAATCCTTCAGCTCAAACAGACGGGGCCAGCCACTAAATACGCCACGGAGTTTCGACTCTTAGCCAGTCGACTCGATTGGACAGAGTCCGCTCTCATGGCCCGTTTCTACGAAGGACTCAAAGACGCCGTCAAGGACGACCTCATCCGGGAGGATAGACCCGAAACCCTCACCGAGTACATCGCCATGGCCGTCAAAATCGACGATCGCCAGTACGAACGCAGAATAGAAAAGGGACGAAAGCCCGCTATAGGACCATGGAACCCTCGCATTCCCCACCACCGATCCAATCAAGGACGCAAGTACCAGCACGACAAACCCCGCGTCAGCACGGCTTGGGGACAGACCACCCATGCAGGACCCATGGAGCTCGACAATACCAGACATGGCAAACCGAAGGATCTCAAGGACATGAAATGCTACAACTGCGGCAAAAACGGGCATATGGCTCGAGAATGCCGGCAACCTAAGAAACCCTGGAAACCCGTAAACGAACGACAGCTCAACCATACTCAACACCAGGACCATGCCAAAACTAACTGGACCTTCTGTTACCAGGACGATTGCCTGACCCACAAAGACAGTAAGGAACAGAATGGATGGTTCCCCAGGGCACCTACGGGACAAAGAACCCTGGCCATGATGGTCACCACCAGGAAGGAAAGACGAATTCAGAAATGGGCCCAGCAAGTAACGCCGGAGACCCAGGAAATCGATACAGACGAAGAAAGAGCCTACGAACATGCTCACCCAGAACCACAATCAGCTCCCCACGTAGGACTGATGAACGACACAGAATGGGATGAATACACACGAGCCAGCGAAGAAGAATCTCCGCTCGGACAGACCCAACCCCACATGCCTATGCAGGCATACGAAGTTAGCAGCGCCAGCGAGGACTATGACCCCCTGGTACCATGGAACGAACTCATCTACTACGGGACCAAACCATGGAAGGCCAGCACCCGAAAGCGAGAAAGCACCAAAGAAAACGTACGACTCATGGTAGGAGACCACCCGGCACTTCACCACGCCCACGAACAACACTACCAGTTGTTCTGGCCCGAATGCGTCTACGACGACTGTGAATACCACTTCAAGGAGAAGGCCGCACACCGGTTTCTCCCGCGCAATCACTGGATCGAGCCACGAGTGAAGGTAGAGTTCGGACAGGAGAGTCGCAAATGGATCCTACACATGGACGAATACAGTCAGGGTCGGCTCACGTTCCGACCAGACCCCGCTTATCACGACAAATGCTACCAAGACAACGCCAGATGGGAGGACTGCGATAATGACGCGTGCATGAAGCACTACATCGCCAAAGCCAGAGATTGGAGACTCCATCGCATGAAGGACGTCAGGAAGCCACTCTTCCGCGTCCACTACAAGAGCGACGAGATGAACGACAACTCGGACGGACCATCCATGACATGGCCACCCACTACGCCACCCTCTTCGGGAAAAGGCAAGCGTCGGTCGAACAGGGACAACGACCGACGAAGGAAGTAAGAGCAATCTGCTCAGCCGAACGAACCCACGGCACAAACCACCTCTACGTACGAATAAACGTAGGAGGAAGATGGGCGAGCGCGCTATTAGACAGCGGCGCCCAGGGCAACTACATGAGCCCCGAATATATCAACAAGAACCACATCAGCTGGAAATATAAGGAGGAACCCTATCAGCTCAGCACGGTGGAGGGACAAGCGGTCTCGTACGGAGGAGGAATCGTGAATACGGAGACTGCGCCCCTCCAGGTATTCATTTCTCGCCGACCCGGCCACATAACCTTCGACATCACCAACATGGGAGGAAAACAAATCATCCTAGGCATCCCATGGCTCAGAGAATGGAACCCTCAGATTGACTGGACAGCTGGCCGCGTCCAGTGGAGTACGTCAGCCCCTGAGGAAAGACCCACGAGCGGTCTCTCAAGCGACCTCCAACTAGCCCTCACGAATAGGGACAACTCAGAGGAGACAACCCCGGAGGAGCTCACAACAGAACAGCAAGAAAGACTGCAGAACGTACCCAAGGAATACTGGAAGTACGAAAAGATCTTCAGGGAAGAAGTCGACACGGTGCTACCTAAGCACACACACTACGACCACGAAATCCCAATCAAGGAAGGGGAGAGCCCCCGATTTAACAAGATCTACGGATTAAACCCTCGACAGATGGATACTCTCGACGAGTATCTCAAGGAGAACCTCAGAAAAGGATACATCCGACCATCGACATCCCCAGCAGGATACCCGATTCTCTTTGTGCCAAAGAAGAATGGCAAGGAAAGACTATGCGTCGACTACAGACAGTTGAACGACATTACCATCAAGAACTGCTACCCATTGCCTCTGATATCAGAACTCAGGGACGCATTAGCAGGAGCCAATTGGTTCACAGCGCTCGATCTCAAAGGAGCATACAACCTCATCCGCATCAAGGATGGAGAAGAATGGAAAACAGCATTCCGAACACGACGAGGACACTACGAGTATTTGGTCATGCCATTCGGATTGACCAACGCCCCCGCAACCTTCCAAAACATGATCAACGATGTACTGCGAGAATTCCTGGACGTCTTCGTGGTAGTGTACCTCGATGACATTCTGATTTTCTCGAAGACGATGGAAGAGCACAAGGGACACGTCCACCAGGTCCTCACACGACTACACCAGCACGAACTGTTAGTAGAACCAGAAAAAGCCAAGTTCCACACACAGGAAGTAGATTTCCTAGGGTATACGATCACCCCAGGAGAAATCAGGATGGAAAAATCCAAAGTGGCAGCCATCAGGGAATGGCCTACACCAAAAAACGTCAAGGACGTCAGAGCATTCCTCGGTTTCGTCAACTTCTATCGACGATTCCTAAAAGGATACAGCAAGACCGCCAATCCTTTGACAAACCTCACGGTCAAGGAAATAGAGTTCGCGTGGAACGAACCCCAAGAAAAAGCATTTCGCCAAATCATCGACGCCGTCCTCAGCGAGCCAGTCCTCCGGATGATAGACCCCGAAAAACCCATGGAAGTCGAGACAGACGCCTCCGACTTCGCCATTGGAGGACAGTTAGGCCAGAGGGACGACCAAGGACGATTGCACCCAGTAGCATTCTTCTCGAAAAAGCTACACGGACCAGAGCTCAACTATCAGATACACGACAAAGAACTCATGGCAATCATCGAAGCCTTCAAAGAATGGAGAACGTATCTCTCCGGAGCACGACACGAAGTCAAGGTCTACACTGACCACAAGAATCTTGCACACTTCACAACGAACAAAGACCTCAACAAACGACAGATTAGATGGGCGGAATTCCTCTCGGAATTCAACTTCACCATCATCTACCGCAAAGGATCTGAGAATGGCAGGGCAGATATCTTGAGCAGACGCTCAGACCACGAACAAACCACACCCCCAAACAATAACGCAATCCTCGCAAGCGACAAAGAAGGAAATCTAATCCCGTACCACCGTACCTTGGCGGTCACCACACGAATAAAACCCGCCAAGCCACCCAAGAGCACCACAGAGCTCATCGAACAAGTCCACGGGGCCAAGGCCCACGGACACCAAGGAGTAGCGAAAACATTCGCCCGACTCAGAAAACATCACGACTTCAAAGGAACCAGACAGGACGTCACAGCAGTGATCCGCAACTGCAACCTCTGCAAGAAAAGCAAGGCAGAGAGACACAGGCCCTATGGAGAACTCAAAGCACTACCAGTACCAACCGCAGCCTGGGAGTCAGTCTCACTGGACTTCATCACCAGCCTGCCACCATCGAAGGAACCCTTAACTGGGACCTCTTACGACAACATCCTAGTAGTCGTCGACCGACTCACCAAGTACTCCTACTTTCTCCCGTATAAAGCCACAGGAACGGCAGAAGACCTCGCCTATGTGTTCCTCAGGAACATTGTGGGACAACACGGACTCCCAAAAGAACTGGTGTCAGATAGAGACAAGCTCTTCACCAGCAACTTCTGGAAGTCACTCATCGCTCAACTTGGAGCCAAACATAAGCTATCCACGGCTTTTCACCCGCAGACAGACGGACAGACAGAAAGAACGAACCAGACTCTAGAGCAGTACCTTCGGTGTTATATCAACTACCAACAAGATGACTGGGTCACATTACTACCCATCGCACAGTTCGCATACAACAGCTCACCAAGCGAGTCAACAAAGGAATCACCCTTCTATGCCAACTACGGGTACAACCCAACAGCCTACGCGGAACGCCGCGAAGCACCGGACACGCCAAAAGCGACCAACATTGCGGTCAACATCCGCAAGATCCAGGAACAAATCAAGCTCGACCTCGAGCTCGTACGCACCAGAATGACCACGTACGCCAACAAGACAAGGATGAAGGGACCATCCTTACAGGAGGGAGATAGCGTCTACCTCATCCGCCGAAACATCAAAACCAAACGACCAAACGACAAATTGGATTTCAAGAAACTAGGACCATTTAAAATTCTCAAGAAACTCTCGGATACCAACTACCACCTCTCATTACCAGAGAACATGAAGATTCACCCCGTTTTTCACATTGCACTACTAGAGCCAGCACCACATAACGCACCACTCGAAACAAACGTGGAAGTCGAAAATACCAACGAGTATGAAGTCGAAAGAATCCTCGATCACAGAAAGATAAGCAAACAAGAAGAATACTTGATCAAATGGAAGAACTATGGGCATGAAGAAAACACATGGGAACCAGTCAAGAACCTGAACTGCCCGCAGTTGCTCCAAGAATATCATCGCCTGGCACAGGACCAAGGTCGGAAAATTCCTCCCCGAAGCCCAACGAGGACCAGTCCACGACGCCGCTAGCACCCCACTCCTGAAGGTCCTGAACCACGTTGGCCTCCTGAGCCTCGAGGCTTAGGTTGTCCCCGCCCAGAGGAAGGACGCCGTCCTCCTCATCCAACTGACGAATCCCACGAGCAAACAACTCTTCCCCACGAGCCTTCGCCGCCTTCCGCATCTTGCGAAGACGGGACAAACGACCCAAGGCCGTCGCCAACTTCGTTTGGAGCACCTCCAACTCCATTTCAGCATCCTCAATCTCAGCCTCTCGCTTCTTCTGCTCTGCAAGAGCCTTTTCCACTAGACGATCATTAGAAAACAGGACCATGACCCCACCAGGGACCAACTTACGCGCAGAAACCACGCTCACACCATCACAAGAGCGACCGCGACGGATGCACTCCCCACAGCGAGAAGAACCAGGGGCGGTCTTACAGACGAGATGTCGCTTGAAGCACCCCGTACAAGGCATCTTGATTTCGCCCTCGGAGTCAATCAAAGCAGCGAGCGCCTTTCTTTGGTCGGTTTTGGCAGACGAACGTTTTATGACACGACCTGACATTTTGTCATGGTTAGTAAGGATGACAAGAGAAGAACCACCGCAGGCGGCTGGGACTTACTACTTATGGCCGCTGGGACATCGGCCTGGAGGAGGAGCATCATGTAACAACCAAGGAAGCAGGGCGGCCGCGAATCGACGACCCCGCGATCAGGGAGCGCGATAAGATAAGAATCGGGCCCACCTGGCAAATCACGTGATGGCTCACTCAGACATAAAGGGTGAGTCGTCGGGCTCACCAAGGACGCCGCAGTGAGCCAGGGAATGGCTCACGGGATAACACACCGTGATCCTAACATCATGGATCACCAACAACTAACCAGTGAGCCATCCAACATGAGCTCACCACCTAACACAACAAGGACAGGATGGCAGGTATATAAGGACGGACATTCTGGACTTGTAGATACATTCTTTCTCACGACAGTGATCAATCTAAGTCTTACCTTGTATTCATTGTAACGAGTGCGCAACGCCTTACGACACCACATCGTCTCAGAGTCACAACCTAAGCTTCTGCAAACAGCAACCCCAACCCTCTGACAGTGTTCCCCCTTCGGAAGCTGCCAGGTCGTAACAGGGGGCACCCCGAAGACATTGACTACATTGTTGTTACCGGTAAGCTGCTATCTCTTCCATCGCCCGTGTCTCAACAGGAGCTTAGACTCTAACACGCACAGATGGCGAGGAGATCCTCGGCATCGGGGATCAAGGCGTAGGTGGCATTCTCATCTCAGTGGCGAAACTCGTTCTCACTACTGTCTGTGCCGGCATACACCCGAACCGTACCTTACCCGTGGTTCTCGACTGCGGTACGGACAATGAAGATCACCTCAACAATGAACTGTACTTGGGATTGCGACAGAAGCGTGTGCGCGGGGCCGAGTACGACCGCTTCGTCGACACGTTTGTGAAAGCCGCCCGTCGCCTGTATCCGCGCGCGTACATCCATTTCGAAGACTTTGGTCTTGCGAACGCCCGCCGTATCCTTGACCAGTACCGTCCCCATATCCCGTGCTTCAACGACGATGTACAAGGCACAGGTTGTGTCACACTAGCCGCTATCCTGGCTGGCCTTCACGTGAGCAAGCAAGAACTCACCGACTTGCGTCTCGTCATTTTCGGAGCCGGATCAGCAGGAGTTGGTATAGCTGATCAGGTTCGAGACGCTATCGCGGCCAAGGGCAACATGAGCAAGGACAAGGCGGCTGAACAGATCTGGCTCATTGACAAGCCAGGCCTGCTTACAACCGCCCTCGACGTATCGCCCGCTCAACAAGGCTTCTGTAAGGATGCGTCAGAGTGGGAAGGCAAGGACACTTCGCTTCTCTCCGTCATCAAAATTGTACAGCCGAATGTTTTGATTGGCACGTCGACTGTGCCCAAATCATTCACCGAGGAAATTGTAAGAACCATGGCCAAGGGCGCCGAAAGACCTATCATCCTGCCGCTTTCGAACCCGACACGGCTTCACGAGGCGGCTCCCGAAGATCTACTCAAGTGGACCGGCGGAAAGGCGCTCGTTGCTACAGGCTCGCCTTTCAAACCCGTCAAGGGGCCCTGGGGCGAGAACGGTTCGGAGGTGGAGATTGAAATCGCCGAGTGTAACAATTCGGTCGTCTTTCCGGGCATAGGTCTCGGATCTGTGCTTTCCCGCGCCAGCCTCATCACAGACAAAATGCTCGTGGCGGCAGTCGAGGCAGTCGCGGGACTGGGCCCAGCCCTTAAGGATCAAAGGGCCCCGCTGTTGCCGGGTGTTGATATTGTACGCGACGTCAGCGTGCGGGTTGCGAGGAATGTGATTAAGGCTGCCGTTGCTGAGAGTGTGGCAACCGAGAAGGACATCCCAAAAAATGACACTGACCTTGACGAGTGGATTAGGGATCAGATGTGGAAACCGGAGTATCGGCCGCTGAAGTTTGTGGGGATGGAGGACGCGTCCAGGGAGGCGAAGGGCCAGATGAGGGTAGCCGGCAGTGCCAGCCGGGTAGGTTTGTGGTGAACACCTCATATCCATTTCTTCTGTTATTGTTTACAACAGATTTCTGGCACTTCAAGTCGTCCGAAGTTTATGCTCAGTCACTCTCAGTCCCTCTACAAGACAAAGGCCACGTGAAACTAGGATCTGGGTCAAGGTAGGCCACAAACGACCGCGCATTAATTATGTACTAGACGAAAAGTTGGGTGCTCTCAGATCACATTGCCGCGGACCTGCTTGATGGTCTTAAGGTTGATGTTCCTCCAGAAACCGGTCGAGACAAGGGCACCGACAAGCACAGTGACACTAGTGATGAGCATGATGCGCTGCGAATCGCCGTATGCGAGTGCAATGCCGTGCCGCTCAGGGGTACCGTACCGGTACGCAAGTTGCGCATACATGTTGTTGTAGATGTTCTCGACGTTGTTGAATCCCTCGGGCATATGCTTGATGAGGTTGTTCTTGAAAGTGCCTGTCCATATGGCGGCGGCGACGGTGGAGCCGATGGCCATGCCAACGCTGCCGAAGAGGTCAAGAATGGCGACGATGACAGCAATGTGCTGATGGTCTGACGGTGCCATCATGGCCATCTCGCCGCAGAGGACAATGGGACCACCTGCGAAGGCGATGAGGATCTGAGTCATGATAACATAACCAATGTTCTGATCAGGCTGTCGGAACTCGATCATAAGACCAACGCCGAGCATCATGAGCGGAATGAGGAAGTACAGCGCAAAAGGCTTAAAGCGTCCAGTGTAGCGAATAAGCAGACCGACGACGATGCCGAAGAAGCAAGAGCCTGTGCGGTAGATGTTGATGATGTACGTCGTCTTCTCGACACCCTGGTTCCAGACAACTAGGAGCATCGAAGAGAAATAGGCGCCCCAAATGCCAGAATTGAAAAAGACAAACGTGAACATGAGCCCACCGCAGAGCACGGTTCGGTCGGCAATCAGTTCGAAGGGAATGAACGTGACAGGAGCGAAAAACTTTTCGTAGCAGACAAAAATGACGATGAGCACGGCGCCGACGACAATCATGCTGATGATCATTGGGCTCTTCCAGCCTTCCGACTGGTACGAATAAATGTTGAAGGGCAGAAGGAAGAGTGCCATGCCCGCAGCAAGAAGCAGGAGGCCAACAGCATCAATATCAATCAGATAACGTCCGACAGACTTGAGCGTCAGGTTCTTGATAGTGCTTTGCTCAGGAAGCAGGCCCATCTTCTTGGCTTTGTTCTGGTTCCAGAAGAAAAGGAATATCAGTGGCAAGACGACGACCGGTGTAGTGATGGCCCAGACACCAAAACCCCACTCCCAGCCAGGGCCAGCGAGAACGCTGTCGGCAATAGGGCCGGCGGCCCATGTGGTGAAGATATAAGGCGAGGAGGCAAATGCCAGCATGAGAGAGCGGTTCTTGAGGGTCGAGGTATCGGCGATGAAGACTGTCAGACAGTAGCTGACACCCTGCGCACTAGAAAAGGTCAGTCCATCGGCACCGACTGGTAGCGGGACAAGGCAACTTACCCAACGACAGCGAATACTTGCGCAGCAGCGTACGTCTCCACGTTTTTGCAAGCAGCCATCATGACGAACCCAAGCACCCAGACGAGAAGCATCAATGATAGTCCGTGGGGACGACCCCATGTGTCGAGAATCTTTGCGAGAGGAAGTTTGGAAAGACCGCCGATGATGCTCGCCATGACGGATGTTGTCGCCGTCAACGAGTGCATCGAGAAGCTGCTTGTGACAAACGGAGTCAAGGCCCGAACGACAACCTCTTGAAGCGAGAGAATAACGTAGATAAACCAGATGCTTTCAAGTGTTAGATCGTAGTTCGCGTGAGACTGCGCCGGCCGTGCGCCTGTCAACCACTCACATTACATATGCCAGGGCGAGATGCCAGTTACTCCAGACCATGGCCGTCGCCTCGACTTTGCGAACACCGGCTTGCGCGCCCTCGGAGAACCCCTCCTCAATGGTGAGGGGGCTGACCTTAAGATCATCGGAGTTGTGCTTTTCATTGTGAGCCCCCTCGGCTGCCACTTGAGATTCGGCCGCAGGACCTTTGGGAGTCGACAGGTCCATGGTCGTTGTGATTTGCTGCCAAGCAGAATATCGAAGTGTTGCCGTCGAGAACAAAATGGTCGGCGCTCTGCGGTGTCGTACCGTGTTATCGGCTGTAATGAGTGAGGGGTTTGACAGATGGGCAGAGATCGGACACTAGCAACACGGGCATCTGCCAGGGGCGCCACAGGGGTGATATATGAAGACGCGCCCAAGGACCAAGGCCGAGCCGCTATCGGCTCGGGCGGGCGAAGCACCCCGGGCGAGGATCTTGCTAGTGCGGAGGCGACGGTCACTTGAAGGTCCAGGGTTTGAAGGCAGTTCGCCAGCTACCATCCTTGGTTAGCCCACTAGACCGCCAAAGAGTTTCTGGCCAGCCAAGGGGAATCAGCACACACATCGGGTTGGGTGGGGGCGCTGTGTTCGAGAATCGGCTGAGAAATCCGTATCGGGCAGACGGTGGAAATGAAGCAGGCAGCCTCTTCGTGCCAACCAACCTCTGCCTCGCGTAGCGTCCCATGATGCGAAAAGACGTCGTAGCTTGTCCGATGCTCACCCCATGGCTCGTTGTCCTTTGATGTCACTGACTCTCAGATCCAACCCGTTGATGCTTGAGCGGAGAGTTCCAATATCGACGAGACCAGGCTTGGCATGCTTGTTGCACCTTGAGGCAGTTTCTGCTTCCTCGTGCGGATCGAGTCAGAACCCGGGACAACGAGCCGAGGGTGAGTGGATGACACCGCGAAGCGAGCGCTGTTAGTCCAAGCAATCATCAGGCTGGAAAAAGTATTTGGGTGTGTAGGCCAGGATCAACATGCCTGTGAATCTCTTCTGGGATTGGCCTTTGGTCGGCTTAATGGTCGGCTGGCCAGCACCATTGTGGGTAGAAGCGGGGTTCGAGCTAGGGCCGCTGCAAATTTTATCAGATTCATCTTATCAGATCATCTGCCCCGCTATTCATGTGACTTTGGCGTTCCCTGGTCGCGCGACCTGGCAGGTGTGCCGCAGACATTGACAAAATCACGCCTTCTGTAACACGTTGGGCCTGTGGCTTGTCGAATCTCCATATTCGGACGGAAAAAATGGCGCATGCAAGGCACTAGCGCGAGGTCTTGAAGACTCAAACCAGCACGCTTGGTTTCCCGACCCATCACAGAAGGCTTGTAAAACTGTATGGCTTTGCGTGATCTTACTCTTCCACAGATGAAAGTTTTAGGGTACTTGTATCCAGACTATATCCGGTGGCTGCCGGTTGGTGCTTTGACAACTGCATGTGCCAGCCATACACGCCCAGCGGCTGACGAGTCACAGGAAGGTCCGCTTGCCAACAACGTCACAACGCAACATACGGTCAACGGACCGGGCATAGAGTGCCAGCTCATACGGGTTAAAGATTTACGATGTTATTACCGGCGGCCCCGTACGTCTGAATTTGTCGCCGGCTGGTCATTCAAGCTTGAAAAGACACAGTCGTCGCATGGCTAGGTTTTTTGTTCGGGCAATATACCCACCACCAGCTGACTTTCTCAGCACCAAGGTGTAAAGACAAGGTTCTCAATACGAGTCGACTGACATCTCAGCCTATAAGACGGGCTGAGGACTAGGGCGCATGATACCAACGTCCACCAGAGCGACTGGCGCCCAGTTGAAGCGGACGCCGTAGATCCTTTGCCAAGATACTGGCTCTTGGAACTATTGCGTCCTGTGTGCCCTGTCAGTGCGCGAGCGCAGACTTTGCGGTTGGTGGCGTACCAACCGCTGATCTTTATTGAGCGGATCTGCAATTACCATAGGGCGGTTGAGCCAACTGCAGCTGATTCATGAGTACCCCAAGCTTCGAAAGAAGCTCGGCTCCGAATAGGCTACGGGAACCGAGCTTGATATGGACTTACAGTCAATAATCTCCTGAAAGCCATCAATACCATCCAAAGAGATTCAGATGTAGGCCAAGATATGTGTTCAGCAAGGATTTAGGGTGTTCTGCACCAAAGCAAACTGCCTACCATCTCAGGTGAGATGAGCAGCGTACTGTGCATTACGATGGTCCTAGTCTCGAGGCAAGTATTTTTGTAAGATTATGTACTTCAAAGGACCAGAATACCCTTCAATGGTAGATCTCGGCTGGTTTTGCCAACGAAAACTCTGTACCCCCCCTCCTGAAGGTGCCATTTTTGTGCGTCAACATTCCATACACTGAGATCTCTGCGTCTCAGGGGAAATTTCACAGTAGCTGTCTCACCTGCTTTTATCAGTTGCTTCTCAAAACCCCGGAGCTGCTTCAGTGGCGTGTGATCATCGCCGGGAATGCCGAGATATAGCTGCGCGACTTCCTTTCCGTCGACCTTTCCGTTGTTTGTCACGTCCGCTTCCACGACGACTAATTCGTCCCACAGATCTTTGTGCCCCCCCCTCAATAACAGGGCCTGTTGGGTATGCACCAAAATTGCCATTGGCCTTGGAGATATTGAGAGAAGAGTAGTCGAAACTTGTGTAGCTCAGACCGAAACCAAATTCGAAACGTAGGTCGACCTTCTTGGAGTCGAAATCACGGTAGTCCACGAAAGTACCTTCCGCAAAGTTCGACTGAGGTTATGTCTGGAACCGGCTAGGCACGCCTCGAGACGTGTAATCAGGCTTCAGTAAATCGCCGTAGTCGGACTCGTTTCGGGCAACAGTATACGGAAGACGGCCGGAGAAGTTTTCTTGGCCGTAGAGAAGTGAGATCAATGCTCTTCCACTATCTTGGCCAGGAAGATGAGCAAAGATGACAGCTGTGACATTGGGGTGTTCAATGAAGGAGTCGACGAGGCGTGGTCCAGCATTATGGAAGACCACAATCGTGTTGGCACACTTGTTGGCCACATTTAATATGAGCATGTCAGTGTACTGGTCGCGCAGCGAAGGGCGGTCATACCCTTCTGTTGCCCAGACATTACCGATGACAATGCAGACATCGGAATTTGGGTTGATGGAAGGATCTCCGGACTCAAAGTCATGGTAAAAGAGCGGTTCCATCCTCGTAAGCCTGGGCTACGAGAGCATCGCAAGGGGCGCTAATCAAGCTCCACGAGGGCGCCGCCGAGCCGCCAGCAGAGATGACAGTCCCGTTGATTGCAATGTCAGATGTTGGAAGATCGAGGTTACCGAACCAACCCAGGTCGACCTCTGTGATGTTGGCGGACCGGATGCCCATCTCCCATGATGCGAATCGGGTACCATTCGCTGCAGGGACCGGCGTGTTACTGCTGGGTGCGCGGGTGGAATAGCCAAAGAGAGAGATCAGCTTCATGTTTTCGGAACGCAATGGTAGCGCATTCTTCTCGTTCTTGACAAGAACATGGCCCTCAACAGCGCTGTCGAAAGAGTCGGCCTAGAACATTTGGTACGAGCATCGACAATAGGGTGCGGCTCCCAGAGCCTTTGAGCCATGCCATTACCAGGCTTTGGAAAGTCTTCGGCGTCCTGCTTTAGGTGGAACCAGGATGCGATAAGTCTGGGCCAGCCAGTCAGCTGGATCACACCCAAGGCTCACGAAACACCCGCCTGGTCACCATGTTATCAATCTGCGCCTCTGGAAGGGATCCGTTGCTAACTGTCTCGACCAATGATGATCCAAATTTGCCAGCCCCGTTAGGCATAGCCACGTCAAGTCCACTCAGTGCAGAGACAACGCCTCCCTTCATTGCGCCCCAGTCGCTCACGATCCACCCCTGCAGTAATGAGAATACTGAGTGACACAAGATTCAAGTCCGATGGACGCACCTGGAAGCCAAGCTCCTCCTTAAGCAAGCCATTTTGCGACTTGCTATTCTTACAGACGTAAGAGTTGTTGAGTCTGTTGTAAGAGCACATAATATTGGCCGTGCCAGCTTTAACTGCATCGTAGAAAGGCCTGAAAAGGTCAGTTAAGCCTTGCTTGATCGAGGAGGGTTGGTTTTACCAGAGATAGAGCTCATGCATTGTCCGATCATCTACATTGGACGAGATAGCCTCCTGAAAAGGACCATCGTCTCGAGTGGACAGTCGGTGTGTCTCCTGCTCTTGAGCGATGAAGTGCTGCGTGTTGTTAATCAGAAGTTGGAATGCTAAAGGGCCACGCCACAAACCTTGGTGCTGGTTATGACTCCATTCTCCTGAATTCCTTCCACTGTTTCATGTACTAGACAACCGAAAAAGCTGGAGTCAAAGTCAGCCACTCAAGTTGTGACCATACTTCGGATGGCTATTACCTTCCCAGTTTCGACCAGCCGATACGACGCGGCCGATAGGGCCGATGGAAGGGCCATGCAGAACGCTGACGCCCTTGATCTTAGCTTCTCGGCCCATGTGATAGGCCCTTCTATGCGCAAGCTCCTTGTTCCAGCTTGCGCCAACGTGGGTTCCCGGCGGGAAGGCACTGACGTAGTCAGTTCCACGCACGCTGTTGCCCGAGTCCACGAGGCACATCTCAGGAAACCTGAGTCGAGGTATGCCGGGAAATCCAACTGCTGCAACCAGTATTAGAAGTGGTGCCCGCAGATAAGTTGGCCTGTCAAAGTCAGCATTCATTGTACTGTTGTTAGACGACAGAGTGTTTTACCTTTTCTTCCAAAGTCATCTGATTAATGAGAGACTTGGCCTTGGCAAGAGCATCTGACCAACGGCCATCTGATGATAGCTCAGGGGTAGGGTACACTGCTGGCGCCTGTCCAAAAGAGAAAGAGTCATCGACGATAGGTTCGTCTTGAGCCACGACCTGGGAGATAGCTACGAGGCCAAGAAGGCCATAAACCAGGCTTTTCAACATGGCGCGTCAGATTTTCATCGCAAGGCACAGTACCTTCAATGAGCACAAGCGACTACAGCCGATAGAGATTGGGACTAACCAGACGAAGGACACGACTGCGGTCTTTATATTGTCAAAATGGCCTGCGAACCTGACGAATACCTCACCTCCACCAACGCCACATGAGTTGATCAAGCCATGATCTCTGACTAGGACGCCAATTTGCCAAGACACCGTGAGCAGCCGGCGCTTGTAAGAAGAATGGTGGGGGGCTACATCTTCAGCTGCATGTAATGAGTTGACGAGGAGAGCACAAGATCCAAGGCTGCTATTGACGGCTGTGACGGAACGGACTTGCTGCAGGCAGGTACATGTCAATCCCAGGATCTCGTTATTCGGCCCTTCTCACAAATAATCCAGTCTCGATGCCGTCTGTCACTTCGATGCCGTCCCCGGTGGACATGAGCCATCAGCCGAAGGGCTGGCGCACGTCAGGATTGCTGGCAGGCAAGGCGCAGATCGACTGCCAAGAAACCAGCGACATCCGGTGGTTCCGCAGTGCGAAGGTTTATAGCATCCGAAGTTGATCATGGGGGTAGGTCGTGGAGGGCAGGGGGGTTAGGGGCCCTGCGAGACGAGCTGAGAGTGCTGTAGGGCACGATTCTGGGGATTAGGACATAGCGTGCGGGGAATCCTTAGCTGATCGCTGCTTCGGACCAGGGGAATTCGTGTCCGTGACATCATAGCTTGGCGTACGGCAGACCTTCATATTTTCGATCGACAGTTATCTACGGGTCTACGTTTCGGTCCCTCCGTCCATTTGTTGCACGGTGAATAATCTGAATCTAGAAATGGGCACTGCAATAATTACCTTGGGAATCAATGTCGACCTTTGTTTTCGTTGGTTATGCTATGATCATCGATTTGAGATGAGTGGCTCTGACACAGGGTTTCTGGCCCGGTGACAGATGGCTTGGCGCATACCTTGTTTTCTCCAAAAAGAAGTCCACACACCCAACTTGCACTGACGATGGTTGCCCTCATGAGTCAGAGATGCGTCACGAAGCCAGTGCCATGGAAGGGCCGAAGTTTGTGGCCCTCGATCTTGGAGACCCCAGAAAGATGCTCGAGCTTTCTCCGCGGGGTCTGGCTACTAATTGCGGGTTGTCTGTGGTCTTCCATGGCGGGGATGCTCGCTTGAACCCCGCAGCATACCTGTGGAATATTCGATGGCTCGGCTGCCGTGCGGTGTTCCAGCCGTATCGTGGATCCTACAACAGAACTTCCCCGCCACTATGCGGTTCGCGGGGGATTGAAACTTGATGTTGATCAGGCAGGCTATCCCCCACAGGAGGGATGAAGGAAAAGTACGATTATCTGACAACAGCGATCAATCTCTAAACCCGTGGAGCTCCCGAGATGGTCTGTAATAAATCAGGGCGGCGGTGACAGAGGATGAGTTGAACATGGCTAAGCGTCATCATGCTTCGCCGGGATGGGCGAATTGATAATGTGAAGTGACAGTTGCGGAGCATTCTTTCGATCACACAAGATCCTGTGCGCGCGAATGAAGGTCAAGATAAACATCCGAGACTGATCCTGCCAGACCGGGTTGTTTTTTTTTAGTTGTTTTCCGCTTATGTGAAGCAGGTAATCTGGACAGACCATCAAAGCTATAAACAATAAGTGCCGTACATACTCTTACCAATGCAGGTTGGCGAGAACATCACGCCTCCGCATAACTTGGACCCGGCGTTTATCGTTCTGTGCACCCTCTTCATCGTCATTGCCAGCGTTGCCGTTGCCAGCGCCGTTGCCAGCGCCATTGCCAGCGTCATTGCCATCCCCATTGCCATCCCCATTGCCAGCTTTGCCGTTGCCAGCGCCATTGCCAGCGCCATTGCCAGCGCCATTGCCATCCCCATTGCCAGCGTTGCCGTTGCCAGCGTTGCCGTTGCCAGCGCCATTGCCAGCTCCATTGCCATCCCCATTGTCATCCTCATTGCCATTGCCGGCGCCATTGCCAGCTCCATTGCCGGCATCGTTACCAGCATCGTTATTGTTGTCGTTGTTCTGGCCGGCGTTGCCATTTCCTTGACCAGCATTGCCCTCGCCAGCATTATCCTGGCCATTGTTGTCATTGTTTTCGTTACCGTTACCGTTACCGTTGCCGTTGCCGTTGCCGTTGCCGTTGCCGTTGCCGTTGCCGTTGCCGTTGCCGTTGCCGTTGCCGTTGCCGTTGCCGTTGCCGTTGCCGTTGCCGTTGCCGTTGCCGTTGCCGTTGCCGTTGCCGTTGCCGTTGCCGTTGCCGTTGCCGTTGTCGTTGCCGTTGCCATCGGCCGCAGCCGGGGGTGTAGATGGAGCAGCGGCACCACAGTCGGCCGTGTTTGTCGCAGCAGCCTCCCCGGGTGCGGCAGCGCCGCCGGCACCAGCATTGTTGTTCTTGCCTGCTCCATCTCCCTTTCCCTTTCCTTGATTCTTGCCCTGACCTTTGCCCTGGTTCTTTCCCTGACCTTTGCCCTGGTTTTTGCCCTGGCCTTTGCCCTGGTTTTTGCCTTGACCTTTGCCACCATTGGCAGGCGGAACTTCAGTGCTATTGTTTGCAGCACCGCCGCCGACGGCCCCGCCTGGAGCAGCAGCGTCGCCAGCACCGCCGGCACCTGCTTTCCCTTGCTTCCCTTTGCCTCCTAGAAGATCATCGAGAGCCCCACCTGCAGCTCCTTCTGGGTTGAGTCAGCTCGGTATGTTGTGAATGAGAAGGGTATATGCTCACCATTCTTCTTGCCGGCTGCGCCTCCACCGAGAAGACCGTCAAGAGCGCCACCAGCTCCAGCTAGAAATTTATCAACACTGCGACTTGGGATTGCTAAACATGGGGGCTCTCACCGTTGTTCTTGCCACCAGCGGCCCCATCACCAGCCCCATTGCCAGCACCACCAGCGGCACCGCCAGCACCAGCGCCAGCAAGAAGACCGAGAAGCTGGTCGAGCTGCCGAGGCGCTACCTGGCGCTTTTCTTTGATGGCTGTTTCCGCGTTTCCGGTTTCGTAGTGGGCGATAGCCAATCCGTTAAAGGCAAGTGCGGCCACAACGGCATGACGGAGAGAAAGTGTCGAAACCATGTTGAAAGCGGTTGGTCAATTGACTTGCAAGAGTCGCGATACTTGAAAGGCTACAAAGATATCCAGACGTCAAGCCTTGGATGCGAAGGAATGGAAAAGTCTACCTGTAGACTGTTACTGACGAAGTGGAAGGAGAGACAAAAAGGACAATAGTCTGCATGTCGCTGTGAGGACTGCCTGGATGGACTGGAGATGTGCAGGCCAAGATGGCTATTTAAAAGGCAATGTGTTCGCGGAGCAATGAGGGATGGACTGATCTACTTACCACCCTCGCCCCTGGCCCCTCCGCCTGTCTGATGGCCATACTGGTAGGTAGGTGATCCTAGCGGCAACTCTTGTTTGGGAAGGGCCTCACCCCCCCCCCCCCCCCCCCCCTATAGAGATCAGCGCAGTACGCTGGGATAGGGGATGGAATTTCGTAGCGAAGCACTGGTGAGTCCGGATTGCGGTCGATGTGTTTGGGATGTGCTACCAGCGTGCGACAAAGGGCGTGAATGGTGTGGAGGACCAGGGGGCGAGCGTTTAGCCTCATCGGGACAGAAAACCACGAGGGATATTGAGTCGTGAATGAGACTGGACGAAACATGGCGGCAACACCTACAGACGCGAACCCCTGCTTTTCAACTGCTCAAGGCGTGTCAAACTTAGAATGCAATGTTGCGCTGATGTGCGCTATGGAAGTCAACAACAACTGAGCCACGCTGGAAAGGTTGGACGAAAGTTTTTACTCGAAAGCTTAGCGTCGATCAAGTGTCAGGGCATGTTTCCCCGGCCGACCAGGCGCAAAACAAGCATGCGACCCCAGCTTCTCTTGGAGCTGAAGACTATGTCTGCGGGGGCGTAGCAAGGATGTTGGCCGTGCCCATGTCGAGGCTCCGTTTCAGAATCCCCGGACCACCGAGTCCCGAGCGGCTCTGCCAAGGCCTGATGCCCCGTCCTCCCCGACACGCCAGAGAGGTTCGACGAACCGTGACAATGCAATCCGATCCGGCGTAGTCGGCAATTCACACAATCGAACAGTCTGTGGGCCGGCCGTCTTCGTGCTGATCCTCTTATGGCGCTCCGGTAAGGAAACAGGCGCAACGGCGTCGATCGGCTGACGACGCCTCGGATCATCGGCCGCAGGTCAATCAGAGCGCCCTGTGTCTCGCTCACTTTTACATGAGCTACGCAGCTTTGTCTGATCGTCGGTCCAAGATGTGTTCTCAGCTTTGGGAAACGAGGCTGTAACCCATCATGTGGAGAACCGGATGAATGAGTCTTTCGATGAGGACCGGTCTCGATTTGTGCAAGCATCAGATAAATTACCACGTACTGAAAGGTGTTTGAGCTGCCTGAGTGATAAAGATGAGAAGACAAATAAATCAGCGCCAAGACCCACGCAGGTTGAGCGTTGGGCTGGTGCCTTGGCAGATCTGTCAACCGACGGTCTGATCTGCGTTCCAGGACTTCGTGATTGTGGAACAATCAACAGGACAGCGATTGCCGATCAGCTCGGCACCAAAAATAGTGACAAGTCAGCTGTGAAGGCCCGCTTGACCCAACACATGGGATGAATCTCTGACGTTTAATGTCGAAGACTCAAAAGCTTGACCTGCACTGCATCTCGTGTTTGGTGATGAGAAGGAAGCCCAGGATTTCCAATGTCAACCTCCGATTTGGGCCGGCCCCGATTGACACTGCTGTTTGTTCCTTTCAACTTTGACCAAGTTGCGTCATTCGATGTCAGAGACATCAGATATTTAGAGAAACCAGTTGAAGCCACAATTCTTGAGAAATGAACCGTACGCCGCCTGAAGGGTAACATGTTCCCCAAAACAAAAGAAGGAAACAAACAGCACAGCAAACCGACCTTCTCCGTGATACATCCTATCCAGCAGGCTTGGGCCTGGGCACAAACCGTAGTGGCCTCTGTCGCCCATGCCTATCGCATGCGGCAAACTTCCACCAGTCTCTGTGCAACCAGAAGTCGACACTTCTACAGATGAACTTGACAACTCCTGGCGCAGGAGGCCACTTTGACCAATTTCCTTCTTCGAAAGCAATGTCATGGTTTGAGAAGCACCAGGGTAATCCGGCCACAAGGCCCATTTCTTCCTGTTTGAGACACTTCAGTCTTGGGTGACGACAGTACCGCAACAGGCATACGAACCATGTTCTTCTTGCCGTCTTCAGAAAATCCGGTCTCCAGTTGCCCCATCTTCTGGACGCCAAACCTTTGTAAACCAACGATCGTTGGAATCTCCTCGGTAAGGTGTTGCACCACACTCTGCCGAAAGAGTCAATCGAGGACAGAATCCTGTTCCCCGAGAACTGAGTTGGGTCATTGGCGCATTCTTTGAGATAGAGATAGAATGTGACGAGCTCTTCTTGGAAGGCATGGTGCTGTTCTACGTTTCCACTCATGATGCCCGTTTCGCCAGAAATCGTCTGGAAGAAGTCGGATTCTTCACACGAATGGTGCAGATGCACCAATTTATACCATATCAAGCTATACTGAATGAAAGCTGGCACCTCCGGCAATGGGATATGTGGTGCTTGGAGGTATATCGAGTTGAGGCCGCGGACGATCATGTTATGAACGCACGCCATCTCGCCAGCGACACGCTCGAACATATCGGGCTTCACGGGTTTCACACATCAGTGACGAAGTCGGTCATCACTTCTTGGGAATACTGACCTCGAAGGCTTTCGAGAGCTTCTTCCCCTCATACGCCGGAGACGCAGTGAGGGGAAACGGATGATCAGCATAAACATCTGCCATGGCGAGTAACTGAATAATCCTAGGAAGTGAAGTTCAGACAGGATAGTTGAGGAGAAAGTTCGCTTGATAACCTGGACCTCGTGCATGCTGTACTGTCGCTCTTTGTTCTCAGCCGCACATGATTGTAAGCCGAACTCTTCAGTCGTCAAGCTAAGGTTTGGTGAATGCCATACTAGGTGACAATACCAATCCCGCGTGAGGCAGTATCTCCAAGTGGAGGGGAAATGATTGGCGTTTTCCCGGGTTGATCTTCCGCGTGGCGCGCTCAAGCTTGATTTAGAGCCTTACATGACATGAGCTGTTCGCTCAATAGCTCGTGCCACATCCAGGCGCCCGTAGGTATGCTTCTCATCAGATTTATGAATGAAAGGCTAGCTAGGCATTGGCAGCGGGGTGGGTGGAGATAATAACCAGTCCAGTCAAGAGATGATTAGGCCTGGTACGAGGCTTGGTTTCTGGTGATTGAGATTACAACAAGATGCATTAACAGAGACCGCTCTTGGGAGCCTCACAGGTACGACGGGACGAATCTTGGAGATTCAACGATGACTCAAGGAAGGCATAAAGCTTGTACAACCTTGAACAGACACAATGTCGGCGACAAATGTCAACTGAGAATGAAATTGTGGTATCCATTTGGTTTCAGAGTAACATGTTCTAACGAGTGAATGTGGCTTGCAAGCATTTGGCGAGCAAGGATTTTCGCAGCGTTCCCCTTCATAACAGGTGTCATCAATCAGTCGTTGGGCATATAACGACAACAACTGTGTTGCGCAAGAACCGTCGCAGCCCTGGTATCTGGTGAAAAGAAAATCAAGATGAAAAGTCGCGAACTGGTGTCTTAAGCCATTGCAGCTTCTTCGGCAGCCCCCGCACTCTGTTTGTTCTTGCGGCGGAAGATGTTTTTGACATCGTCGCGGAACCGTGTCGGTGGCGAGTTGAACTTTGCCTCGTAGGCATCAACGATAGGTCGCTCCCAGATGAGGTCGGCCTCGTGCGGACGGACGATGCGCGAGCGCTTAAAGAGCTTCCATCCAGTGAATGAAATGATGGCGACGAAGACCATGGTGTAGTAGGAGAAGAATGTGAGGGTGTTCCAATTTCCTGTGAGGAAAGTGGTGTAGCCGAAGGTGAGGACCATAAGAGTCATCCAAAACACACCAATGTAGGCGCAGTATGGTTGAAACCATCCCGTGTAAGGTAGCGTCTTGCGGTCCAACCCTTGGGCCTCACAGGCACGGTAAAAACAGATATAAGTGACGCTGATCACGATGTAGTTGATCAGACCAGATGCCGACGTCAAACTCTGCAGTTTCGTCACGACACCGGCTGTGTCGCCCGATACCTGGAGGAACGAGATGAAGGGGAACACCATGACTACAGCAAAACAGTAAACGGGGATACCGTTGCTTAGACACTTCTTCAGGAAGCTCGGGGCCTGCCCCTGCAGGGCAAGTCCATACAAGCAACGCATTGCGCAGTACGTGTAGGCATTGCCGGCACTGAAAATACTGGTGCAAAGCAGAGCATTGACCACGTGGGGAAGAACCCCGACTCCCATGTTCTTCATGGCGATGACGTACGGCGAGCCGTTGGCGGTGCCGGCTCCGGCGTTGTCGAGATCCGGGTCATTGTAAGGCAGGACAATGGAGACGCACAGGGCTCCGCCGATGAAGAAGAAGCCGAAGCGCCAATAAACAGACTTGAAGCCTTGCTTGAGATAGGTCCGCGGACGCTTGGCCTCACCGGCGACCATGGACAGGTATTCAGGGCCGACGACGGTGAAGCATGCCGAGTAAAGGGCCGCTAGGTAGCCCTGGAAGCGACCGAGGTCGCCTGTGGTCTGATAGGCGGCGAAAGCGCCAGGATTCTTCCAGTATCGGAAACCGTAGGCATCATTATCGGGGTTGCCACCGACCATGGTCACGAAGGTGAATGTAAAGACGATGAGAATCAGCAGAATCTTGCCGCTGGCGAGCCAAAACTCGGCTTCGCTAAAATAGAGGGAACACGTTGGTCAGCATTGGTATACAAGAGGACGCTTCGCTGGCAAACCGAGGAGGGTCTTGCGGCGTTCATGGCCCGTCTTGCATCAGGGTTCATGGACGCTCTACTTCGTCTTCCCCTGCCATTGAGACTTACCCAAAGTACTTGACGGCGACGACATTGAGCAAGGCGTACAGCACGATGCATCCAACACACACAGCAGCTTCAGGAATATCGTCACGCCAAAAGCCGAGCACAAGGTTCAGGGCCGCAATCTCAAAGGGGATCAGGAAGGCTTCATAGAAAAAAAAGTTCCAACCAGCCATGAACCCCCAAGCTTCGTCCACCCACTTGCCGGCGAAGCGGATGAAGGCGCCAGAGATGGGCATGTAGACACACATCTCGGCCAAGCCGTTGCTGACGCATGCGAGCACGATGGACTGAGTGAGGTAGCCGAGGAAGAGAGAAGCTGGCCCGCCGCGCTGGAGACCAGTACCGATGCTGACGAAGAGGGCGGTACCGATGGAGCCGCCAATCGCGATCAGCTGGATCTGACGATTGCCGAGATGTCGCTGGAGCTGGTCGGCGTTGTCGCGCTCAATAACGCCCTCCCGAAGCTCGCCGTCGCTGCTGTTGGCGCGCAGGGACTGGCCTTTCTCTTGGGTAGCCCCAAGGGACTGTGCCCCAGTGTCGTAATCTTTGGGTGGTGCCGCCATAGTGGGCAGGAGGTGGCTGCTATTGTTGAGAGTAGATGATGGAGAGGGAAGGCAAGGTATGCTGTGTTAAAACAGGACACAAGAGGGCGATCAAATCGCACGAGGGACGGTTATTGAGCCGACGCGCGCAAATGGAAGCTGCGTGCGGTACAGGTCTCAGACTCAGGAATGTGAGCAAGAGAAGAATAATGAACTGCGACACGGCCCCGTGCACCTCGGTTGGGGGGATGGGTGCGACATTATGTACACAGGGAGACGGTTGAGAGACAAACACAACCCTGATCAGCATTTCTCGTCTGTTAGGTTGCCAGGATCCGATCCGCTGCACGACGTACGACGTACTGCTTCCCGCCTGCGCTTCAGCTACAGTGATAGTGACAAGCAACATGGGCATCTCTATGGTGGACGTCAAGAAAAAAAGGGACTCGGCACGGCGCCGGTGGTGGCCAAGTACCCACCCGGTCGGCCCCCTGAAAGGTCCCCCGAGGGAGGTCTCAGCGCCTGTTACCTTCTCTTCGTCCACTGTAATCCGTGGGTCGGTCTACAGGTACTTGGCTGTACGTTGGTGCGCGTGGAGCTGAGGCCCAAGCTAAGTGACCCCATCGGTCCACCATGGGGGCCCCTGGGGATTGGCACTGATGCTGGATTCCAATTGACCGGACTGATTACTAGCCTGGGCTGGCCTGACTGGATGAATCTTGGTTCTGGGGGGAAAACTCTGCATCCAAACTGCATATGGTATGGTGCGCCAAGTGTCGCGTACCCTGTCGAACACTTGCCGTCTCTCCAGACTCAGTCGACATGGACGCCTGGAAATATTGCATTGGCATTACATGCATAGATGTTGGGATAAGGGTCTATTCCCCACGCAGCCCAAGGCTTGCGTTTCTTTCTTTGTTAAATGAATCTTTCAGGCTGCTCATGACGTGGGGCAGCCTGGCCGCACGCGTCCCAAGTTTTCCCTTGCTGCTGGCCCTCGAATGATAGTCCCGTGTAACACCAATGAGAAGCGGCACAGCGACGCCCACTGCACGTCAAGATTTGACGCAGATTACGCCCAGAACAATGATCCAGTAGGACGGAAGAGATCGCAGGCAGAAAGGCAGGCAAGGCAGTCTCTGGCCAACTGCCGGCCGGTCGGTGTCAATCATGCCTAGCCGCCGGTCACTTGATCGGGATTGTGTCCATGTTGGTACCGACGCGGCCCCCTCATCGGTCTACCCACCCCTCCTCCGGTTTCTTTTGTTGCCGCCATCGAGTCAGTCTGATCAGCTCATGCGGCTTGAATACCACGTGAGCAGTTCTGGCCTTGACGTTGCCACCATGTGTCGCCTTGCCACGCGTTAAGGCAGAGTCGCTCAGGTAAAAGTCTCTGCTCCCATAAGGTAGAGTGGGCCAGCCCAAATGCCCATCCATCTTGCAAGACTATGAGCCATAATTTGGGCATCGCCTTTCGGCGGGTTGCGACCGCGGAACTATCTTGATAGCGCGCCAGCAAGCAGACGACCAGTTTTCTTGGCGTTTGACAAGGGTACATCGGCAACACGAGGCTTGTTGACGCTGGAGGCAGCGAAAGTCCTTTCAGCCGTTAGCTTAATGAGGCCAGGGCCGCCGAGACCCCCCCCCCCCCCCCCCGGCTCGGTCTCCTAATGTAATGAAAAAACAGGGAGACAACCAGTTGCTGGAGCGTAAATTCCAATAGAGGAGGATCGCGCTACCCACATCCTGGCTCCCCCACACACAGCACAAACCTGCATCGTACAGTGTCGTCAGAGGCGTTACGAGTCGCACGACCCAGCTTGCCCCGCTTGAAGCCTCGAGGTTATTATGTGCTCGTGTGCGTACGTAAAGCACCCCGGAAGCAAGAAGTGGGTTGCAATCTATGGATAATGACGCAGGGCTTGGGGAAAGGATGTGGGCGTCAGCAACAGCACGAAGGGATCCTGACCGGACGTACGACAAGACAGCGTACGTCCAGACAAGCTCATGAGTTTCGCGGGTGGCGGCATTGGCAACAACTTGATCCTTTCTTGTCGCTTCTTGTCATTAACCATTGGATTGCCATGGCTGTACGATACTGCTATGGCGCATTACCTACTGCTGTCTACCACAGGCTGTGCCCAGACACCAAGGCTGCCTTGGCTAGGTATGTTACCTGGGCTTTCCCCATCCCCAGCCAATGCAAGCACGGCGGAGACAGACGAGTTCTGCCTCTCGTGCTAGCCTATGACGGCCCGTCCTTGAGCGCGATCTGCACGTCTCAGACATGTGACCTGCCTGTTCTGGACAAGCGTCGCA